TGAGGAAGTGCAAGATGGATAGGGTTTATGCCTAACTGGAGGGAAGCAAAGAAAGTGAACCTCTATGGTCAACACGCAGCGCACAATCGAACTCTGCATACATGCCGTGTGAAGCATTCTGACCTGATAAGAAATGACAAGAATGCCACTGCTATCGATTAGTTGCCGTATCCATCGGTGTCTCCAACCCACCAGTTGTTGAGTCTTTTGGACCCCAACCTGGAAGACGGGAGACACCGACTCTACCTAATCGCTCTGTGCATTTCCTCCTGCCTCGTTTCCACGTCATTTGTTGACCTCCACTTGGTTTCTTCCAACCTCGAACCGCGACTGTGGATAAAGAGCGGTGCGGTAGACGACAACTGGGCATGTGCAATACGTGTCCTAACCAGCGAAGCCGACTAATCTGAATTTGATGGGGCAATGAATTCGCCATTGAGTCATTATCAGATACGCGACGCCTTACCTCAGTTGCTTACACGCCCGCTCCATTCAACCCGCGCCAAACTGCGCAAGCATCAACAATCGAAGACTTCTAGATGGCGAATATCTGTCACGCGTAAATTTAGGGTCTCGCAACCATAATGTAGAGCTGACCACACACTGGTGCAGTATACACAACCTTTCAGTTTCAATGAAACATCACCAAAGATGTATGGTTACTGGCTGTACATACTGAACTGAACAGAAAATGTGTTTCAGTCCTTTGTAACCTGCTCGAACCTTGGAAACGCGGGTGGTTACTTCATTGACTATGCTACCGTCAGTTGTCACACAGCTACCTGAGTAACTAATTCTTGACCATTAAGCATCGGCGCCCCGGGGTAGATGACACCCAATCTTGTAGCATCAGTTGGCACTTCGAAAATGCAAAGCACAATCTGAATGACATTACAGATTTTGAAAGTCAGTCAGAAGTGCTTTGCGCCCGTACTTTTTCCCATATTTCGCGCATTTTCTAGCTCAAAATCAACATACTGATTTTGATGTTATTATTCCACATCATTCTGTGTCGTGTATAGATTAAGTGTTTCGTACTGTAATTGATGTTTACCATGTAAAGGAAAATAGTTGACGCATTTCCATCCCAGATGAAATCGAGAATAATAAAACATGAAGCTGACAACCACGTATCCGCTTCTTGGGAGGCAAATAAATAATGTGCTCTGAGCCTGGTTTTTCCTCGTGTTTTAATTGAGGCACCTCATTATTATGGGATCCTCGTGTTATCTAGCTTATCTCTCATTTTCAAGTGCATGACACCGGTCAAGTGATCAGTTCATTTCCAGGCTGTGTGCCATTCGATTTTTCGAATGTTCGCAACTCAGCAAGATTCATATGTCGTGCTTCTCACCTTCCGTTTTCATTTTCTCAACCCGTTCTCATTCCGGTAGATCGCAAATGACTGTATGGCTCCGACCAGAAGATCTACCCACAGAAATTAAAAGGTAAATTAATAATTTTAATCATCCAACTCACTGTTTTTTCCGAGGTGTAAAGGGGAGAGCGGACAAAATGTAATTCTTGTCGCACCGGCTGCCGGTATGTGCTAACCATAATTGGAGTGAGCGGAACTGAACAACAGTGCTGTTTACAGCACCAGCGCGAAAGGAGTGTCACGTTGCTTCTTAAACCAGTTGAGAACTAGTTTTCTTTTGTTCGATAATCCTGTCTAAACATGTGAACCGTTGGATATGTTTTTCTGTGACCCCTGTTCAATAAACCCGGTTTCTTCGGTTGCTGATTCTCCTCAGGAATCGACCATATTGGGAAAGATAGTTTTATTTACGTCATATAAACATCACCCTTTCTCATTTTCATGTACAGTGATCCTCTCTATGATCCAAACAAGAAATACGGAGCTATTTTGCCACAAGTGATTACCTCCGGTACTGTGTCTCGACGTGCTGTTGAACCCCTTTGGCTCACGGCAAGCAATGCAGATCGTAATCGACTTGGCAGTGAAATCAAAGCAATGGTTCAATCGCCCCCGGGCTATTGTTTCGTCGGGGCTGATGTGGACTCGCAAGAAATGTGGATCGCAGCGTTGATCGGTGATGCCAGTATTGGCTTTCAAGGTTAGTCAGTTAATGTGTGTGTCAAAGCATGACAGCCACGAAGGTTTGTCTGTAGGCTCAGTGTTTTATGCGTGAGATCTGTCAAACTATTTGGGAAATAGGCTTAATCAGTGGAGATATTTCTAAACCTTGAATGTAAAAGATATTATATTGCGGGGCTACAATTACGTCGTGTGTCCCCAGCAGAAACCAAGAGGGTTTAGTTTCTTCCAGATCGCTTTTGCCTACCCTTCACTAGGTTTTGTCTGGTTAGCTTCTCGTTCACTGTTAGTGAACTTTGAGAGACATCATTCCACAATCATGTAACCGTGGCATTCTAAAGATTGGAATGCGAAATGCGTCCAGACAGCTGCTGTTTCCCAACTTTTTCCCGGTAATTAATATGTGCATATGTATGTTGCAGGACGAGGCAACACAAAGACGCCTGTGTTTGTCACAAAGAAACTCTTTCTTAAGTTTCTGCTGTTTAAACCTTGCTGATCCATGTTGTGAATGCGAACGTCAACTGAAGCGTTGTAACGACAACAGCTATATGACGTTGTTCCACAAGAAAAGCGATCTTTTGTCGTGATCCTCTACTCTCCCCCCCCTGTTTGTAGTTGCCTTCTCAAACCGGTGAGTCCAGTGTCTCGTTTTTCACCTCTTTGCAGTCCGCCGCCTGGAGCCTGGCAGATCGCCACATTCCTGTGCACTGAATAAATTGACTGGCGCCCGCCATGCTGATGAATAGCGTGGATCCCCCTGGAAGGTTAGGTGACGTCGCTTGCTAATTGATAATGCGCGTTGTCAACGGAGACTTGTTTACAATCACTCTTGAAAGTGTCCTCAATCGCGATTTCGTTCAAAAGGTGTAAATCTGCACTCGGGTATGGGGGAATTATTTTTCTGTATACCTTTTTAATTAAAAATTCTCCGATATAGACATCCCGTGTTGCCTTTGGACGATATCTAGTGGAGTACAACGATGAGCTTCTGAAGAGGAGGGTGTGTCCAACTAACGACTTTGGTCGGAATTCAGTGCTTAGCCACACTGTCTTACACGAACCCAATTCTTTTTTGGAGCACGTCGCAAAAGGCGGTCCACCGTGATGGCTCGTCTGTCGAACTAAGTACTTCAATAGCTTGTCCTTGTACCATGCAGGACATTTTAAGTTGACTCCGGTATATCTTAACTTTATATTTGAATTCGCACCGGGAAGGTAGATGGTGGAAAGTTTCCACCGGTTTGTCAGGTGTAGTTTAGTGTTTTTGGATGAGTTTGAGATGAACGAAAATCGAAAGCAGACAATGCGCAGCTACTGTAGTTAAGATTCGATATTTTTTAACACCTTAGTGTGATGAACGACAGACGGAATGGAACCTCATGGTCACGAAGACTAGCTGTTCAGTGATTGAAACCGGTAACCTAACCCGGGACTTAGAATGGCGAACGGCTCGAGGCGTGGTATTGAACTAGCGACAGCAAAGCTATCTAACATCAAAGTGGGGTATTGTTGTTGGAGCTCGAACCACGGACCATAGCGTCCAAAGCACACTAGTGACATCGACTAAAACACTGTACCGCAGGCTCACAGTAATGGCTGTCTATCCCCTCCTAGTCTAATATTCGTCCACACTTGATCGCGTTTTTTTCACTCTGTTTACCATTGTTTTCTTCGCTATCGGCTTTCAGGGGCAACTCCTTACGGTTGGATGACATTGGAGGGAAACAAACAAGATGGTACGGATTTGCACACCAAGATTGCGCAAATCATGGGTATCACACGGAGTGAAGCCAAAGTGCTCAACTATGCCCGTTTGTACGGCTCTGGCTACGAATTTACCAAGCACTTGCTGGCCAAATTTTCCAATCTATCGGTAATTTTTTTATTGGTTCAATTTATTTGCTGTTTTAGCATGTAACTTATAGGTACTTGTGAGCAGTGTTGTGAGATAGTTGATATTGATTGGTTGGAACTGGCCGTTCTTCGGATTTCACCATACAGATTCCTCGGCTCTTCCAGTCAACCATACTCTCCGAATCACTAGACTCGAGTTTTGCTCTTATTAGAGCTCATCAGTAGGGCATATCTACCGTCCCGTTTGGGATTTGAACTCCGAACTCATCCCTTGGAAGGCGTGTTACCACTGTGTCAAGCAGCCCATGCCAAGGCTGGAGAGAATTATCAATTCATGTTTGATTAGGTGTCGTCTTCAGAGATAGTCAGTTAGTTAAATTTGGCCCGACAGCAACAAAGAGAGACACTGTTGGGTCTGTTAACTCCAATTGAAAGCCTCCCACCAAGCCAGGTTTTCCGTACAGGTTACGGACTAACTGGCCACAGACCTTCCAGGCTGGGTTCATAATTCGCATTTCCTGTTTCGCTTGTTGATGTCCTTGCCCGTCAGATATTCATCTGTTTGATATTTTCGCTGTTGTCTCCAGCCCGAACAGGCGAGTCTGAAAGCTGGTCAGTTATTACGTACTACAAAGGGGCAGCGAGTTACTGTGAGGTCAACCCCACAAAAATCAAACACCATGTCCTCACGTCGATCGAGCTCAGTGGATTCCCCGTCAGAGAATGGCTCAACAGTGACTTCGCAATGGCAGGGTGGAACCGAATCCGCCGTATTCAATCAGTTGGAGCGGATCGCCCGCAGCGCAGAACCTCAAACACCTGTCTTGGGGGCCCATCTGACCAGGGCGCTCAATCCGAAACTGGTGAAAGAAGACGTAAGTTGTCCTTGAAGGCTCCCTCTAGATGCAAGCACAATCTGACATTCAGATGAAGCTTGCCAATTCTTACAGTTTTTTCGATACCTGGGTTTGAGTCTTCACAATCACTGATCTCAACAGTTTTACACAACCTACATGAGAGTTGGAAAGGAGAGATGTGCACATTAATTTGGCAGCCACAATGGATGGTTTATCTGTCGTGAACTAGAAGCTTCACATCATTTGACAAGTTGAAACTTGACCACCGATGAGAGATACACAGAATACGGATAAGAAGCTTATTATTATTATACCGTTAGTGTTTGAAAACTAAATATGAATGTGCCAGGTGCATAATGGGGGGAAAGAGTATTGGTTCCACTCAATGGATAACTTGTAAAGCAAAATATGGTGGTCGACACTCAGAACACAATCTGTATTCCTACTTAGCTGTTCAACCTGTAAACAGAGGCGATAACACGAATTCCATTGCTGTCGGATCATTTTTCTATGGTCTCTATTCAATCAGCTGCCGGTGTTTTAGAACTATCATCTCTCCGGAAAATTTGCTTATACTAATCTCTCCATGATGATCTTTATCCGTTGTACACGGTGGTAATGGTCACCGAAATATCGCTCCGAAGGATATGGTTTCGAATTCCATCACCACCACCTGACTTTCTGCGTTCTCTGGGTGCTATATGGTGGTCGTTTGATTGGTCGCCTCCCCCCTACTCTAAATGGTATCCTGGTATATTCAATCAGAAGTTAAGTAGGAAAATCAAGATTACCATCTAAGATAATTAATATCTTACTGTGCCTGTTTACCGAGAGCTCTGACACTTAACTAATGGTCTTCATCTCGCTAAATGCTTCCTCACTCACCGATTCCTCGTCCACCTTTCTCTGTTCCCAGTTCCTACCTAGCCGCATCAATTGGGTGGTTCAAAGTTCCGCTGTGGACTATTTGCATTGCATGCTAGTCATCATGGGCTGGCTAATTCAACACTATCAACTCCCGGCCCGATTATGTATCAGCATTCATGACGAAGTACGCTACATTTGTCGACGAGATACCGCTAATCGCGTTGCTCTGGCGCTGCAAGTGAGTCGCACTAACCCCATATCTGCCCCCGCACACGCACACTTGATTCCCATCACCGTTCGCGTATACATGACGGAGGGGAACTGGAGGGTCTTTGTAACCTTTAATTTTAACTAAAGGCGTTTGGAGTTATTTATTATCGACGCGTACTCTGAGTGTTCTCTTGGCACAGAGGGCTCATGTTCATTTTGAACTATCTCAGCTAAACAAGAACTTGACGCGTTGTGATGTTTTGCGCTATTCGCGGAGCTACATAAAATGACTTTTTAGCTGGAGAGTCCGTCAACACTGGGAGTTCACGGACTTCGCACAGATACGGTCATAGCTGAATCAAAACGCACTGGTCGGAAAGGATCGTTTTTGTTCAGATCATTATCCCCATTCATGCAAAGGAACAGGTTGCTGAGTGAATGGCCCTGCTAGCACCATAGTCGCCTTTCGATGGCTGCCAAACTCTTCACCGGACGTATATCGCCTGTGCAATGCCAGTCTAGAAGATATTGTCAAAATCTGTCTCTCAAGAGTCCTGTGGCGGGTTTGAAGGTCCTCACTCTGATACTTCTTGCAAGAATCAACTTTTCAATTAAAAACTTCGTTCCCATTGTCTTCGGAATTGGATCTAAATGCATTGCATCACTACCATCTACCCCTAGAACAGATTCGTACAGAATTTCTGGTCTTTCTGTTTCATGCCTGTGGACCTTTGTTTTATTCTAGTTCCCCTTCGTCTTTAAATTCACCTCGTACGCGGTTGCGGTAGCGTAAACACAGAGCCCCCGTTTCGACTTCGTTATCCAAACTTCAAGAATCGATGTTAAAAGACCTGCCTAATGCGACTCATTGAGTAACAGCTGACAGCGTTCCAGTTTTCAGTTACCATTATTGCATTCACTCAGTATGCCTTACATCAGTCTTGTAGTACTGACAAGCTCTCTCATCGTGCAGGGGAATCCCTGTTTATCCCCATCATCAAAGAGCACTCGCGCAATAATTGCTTTAACTATGGAGATTTAATTTTTAATCCTAGTAGCGCGTACGTCTTCGATGTGTAGACTGCTCCACGGGTTCACCAGAAACTGTGACGAGCTAACTCGGAAGAAATAGGCTAGGTTCTGAACCCACCGCTGATGTATCAATCACCCTCGATCAGCTACTTGTTCATTGAAAATGCCCAAGTTACTCTGAACTGTCTGTATGTTAAACTTATTCGTTTTTTTCATGCGCTTTGAACCAACTAAGCGTGGTATATCTTCAAGGCCGGTGATGGCTGTTTTTTACAATCAACTGTTGGTAACCAGCAGGATGTGATCGACAGTGTTCACGTTGGAGATAAAGTAACAGAATACAGCAAACCAACCTAAAGGTAGTGTCAGATCCGAACAACGTTCGCAGTGTATCGAAAAAATCGATGCGCCATGTGATGTTTTATATAGGTTGTAATTTTGAAAACACAGCGATGTCGGTACAGGTGAAAATAAGCCGACGTTTCGGTTACCGTGGATAACCTTTATCAAGGCGACTTTACAATCGATTCTAAAATCACCTTGATAAAGGTTACCCACGGTAACCAAAATGTGGGCTTATTTTCACCTGTACCGACATCGCTGTGTTTTCAAGATTACAACTTATATACAACCTAAATGTAAATTGTGACAGCTCAGCCTACCGCGCGGGCGGCTTTAGTATTGAATCACGACTATCTCTGTGGTATTCTTTTTAATTTCAACACGTAACCAATTACAGAGAACTGGCGAATGTGCCACAACATACGAACAAAAATAAACCTGTAGAACGTGTTCATAGGTTGTGGGCATGTTACTTCCCAGTTGCCTTGACCAGATAAAGGAAGTAACCTCGGGGTCCACATCCGAAACCTTTGGCTGGAAAAGCAAACCTGCAAGACAACAGAACAGAGCTCAGAGTCCGCAGTCCATTGGGGTTCATTGGATCATACGCCTTTTAGACGGGATCAACCGTCCAAGGTGTCCAATACACTTTGAGGCGTGATCGAGCCGGTGACCACTGCCGCGACCAGGAAAGTGTGCGTATGGTTCTTACGCCTCTTCCTGGTTGGTTTGGAATCAGGGCTTTTAGTCAACTCCCCTAGGTGAACTGCCAATGGTTCACCAACCCGGATGTTGGATTTTCGTCCTCTCACTTTGATGGGAAAACACCTCCGCCACGGGAAGGCAGTGAGTAAGACTTTCTCAGCAGAGGCGATTTGAGACACTTGGTCATATGGGAGTATTTCTTGAGGTGCAAGGAAAGGGTGATCAGTCGCAACCCTAAGCACCACCCCGACCATACTGAGGCTGTTCTAGGCGAAACTGTTACAGTACGCCACCATAGAGATCAATGCTTTAGACAGGTACCACTGTGACTTTTGGCCACAGATGGGTGATTAGTGACGGTTAGTTCTTGATTTAACGTACGGAAATGAAGTTGACGGTGATACTGATCTTGTTCTGTCCGTATGCGTTTTCTCCTATTCGGTTCTAAGAGATTATGGATATTGTTGGTTTTAAAACGCCAAGAGGTACGACTCAAAATCGAAACCGGAGACATGACTGTTCAAGATCACCAACACTACAAAATAAACACAGCGCGAAAACACTGCATACGATGTAAATCAACAACAACAATCCTACCGTAACTTTTGTTCTGAGTGTTTCCCTTTGAATAAATTTGATCTGTTTCCTTTCGTCTTTTTTGTTTACTTTTTTTTCAGATAAGCAATCTTTTCACTCGTTGCTTATTCGTTTATCAGTTGGGAATGCGTGATCTGCCTGAGGTAAGTAATATTCCTCTCCCCCCCCCCCCCCNCCCCCCCCGAAACAAAAAAATGAGATCATCCAACTGTTTCCGTATCGCACTGGTGTTCAAATGTCCTCCTCAGATGCCTCACCTCTGGTTCATCGTACATAACTTGCTTTGGCGAATGTATGTTGGGAATTTTCTTCTAGCTTTGTATTACTGGTGTGGCATAGCAAGGCGAAAAATCGCTTACTCTCCTGCGGGGAACCTCAGTCGTTGATGCTTCTCGTTATCATCGTGAAGCAAAATACAATGAAGCGAACTTTGCCAGCCGCACTTGAACTCGATGATACCTCAGTGTCCAACAGTTAAGCAGAAAAACGAATAGAGGTTTTAGCCAAAGCCTTTAGCTCTGGCATGTTCAAATTGCAACCGGTCGAAGCTGAAGCAGCAGTCCGAGAACTACTGCCACACAAATGCACTGATCGTGTACTAAATTCCGTACACCCCAGAAAACGGATGCAATAAGTATATAAACCTTCATCTGTTTGACCGTAGTTTCTGACTGCTGCCGATAACATGTTTTTTCTGTAGCACCTGGAAAGGTGTGTGAAATGATTGCACTAATCTCATTGTTCGAGATCCCTGTTGCAAATTGTTGTTGTGTCAGGAGTAATCCCAAAGTGAGATGCTTCAGTTCATTAAAGGTCGCTGACATACGCTGATTCATTGCCAAGAAATTTCATTCTCAAGTAATCTGTCGAGGGGTGCGCGCACAATTGATAGACACGTGCCGTAGTAGCTGATAAGTCTCAGTTATGATCGAAGCCTGAAAAGATCGGCAAGTTAAGACATCTGCTAAATGGACCCTGAAAGGGTCCGGGTGCTGACCAGACGCGTTGAACACGAAGTGCTTGATGAACTGTGGAAATAACTGGCACTTATCGATTTACAAACGGGAACCCGCCATTGCGGATTCGCAGTACTGATGTGAGGCGGAAGCACAACTCCTCTGTAGACGTGCCCACTACGAGAATTTCGTCCAGGTACGCGGCCGTGCTGAATGAACCAGACAGCATCGTATCTATAAATTGCTGCAAAATGCGTCTTAGGGAACGGTCACCGTAGTAGAAAACCTTTTTAATGCGGAAAGCGTAATCAAAAAATAGTATTCTGTTGGGGGGGATTGCCATTTCCTTTATCGCCTTGGCATGACTAGGCATTTTCGGGAGTTATGCTGAGTGAAAAAATAGTATCGCCTGCAGATGAACCGATAACCACTGTTGTTATCATCGCCAATACTCGTGATCTCCTTTGGTCTATATTAGACCATTATATCTCATGTCCAGAAAGTCAATTATGGATACTTCTTTTTTTCCCATCGCTCAGTCTTGGTTTAATTGATTAATGAAGGCGACACAATCCGTTCGCTCATGAATAAAAAGCCTCGCATTGTGAAAATCTCGGTCAACTAGGTCCAGTACCGTCTTACTTAAAACCAGGTAGTGGAGATCAGTTTTCTTTCAATGAATCATACAAAACAATTTTGTTAGTAAACTTTCAACTTTGTTTTGTTCCACCCTTTTCGTTTCCGGACTAGTCGGTCGCATACTTCAGCTCGGTGGAAATTGACACATGCTTACGCAAAAATCCCAATGACGACTGTGTTACACCTTCAAATCCGGACGGAATACAAAAAACGTACAACATACAACCAGGTTTGTCCATAAGTTTCAGAGATGCATATGCAAAATTATTCTCTTGTTCTCTAGGTGAATCACTTACAATGCAAGATATCCTGAATCGGACTGGTGGATCACTGGAACCTAAATGAGGTTTGGATCCGTGATATAATCACCGTGCATTTATACTCCTGTATAACTACTTTTACCAGATTTCCACTCTGCGCCATATATTACTGCATGAGTCCGCTGTGACTCCGTTGTACAGTTTTTCTTCAAACCCAGCATGTATTCATCTATTCGAAACGGTGCACAATTCCAAACCTATCCTTGCTCTTGTGGCTTTTCAAATAGATTGGAAAAGATCTGATGGAAGGGGTGAGGATTTCCAGTGACACCGACTGATTTGACCGATAGCGAACATGCAGGAGGATTACTGATCAGATCAGAGATGAACTGCACCTTGGTGTAGTCCAACAGTTAACAGAAACACAATGAAAAATGCTTTATTGATATGAACATCATCACAGTGGGCAGTTGCATTGTTATATAGACTTCACACCTTGTAATCCCATTTGGAAAATCTGCGTAGCTCTGGCTCGACGGAAAGGATGTATTAGGTTTACAAACTTCTCCGACTGAATATCAGGTTGACCTGAGCACTTTGATGGTGAACTTGCCTAAACCAATTCCGAATTAGTTGGTACTTTCGACTTACAAGATGGCAGCTTCTCACAATCCACATTCACTGTACATTTAAGTCCAAGGCTGCATAACGCGCCACGAAGCAGTCCTGTGGGAAAAGCCAAGTACTGTGTTGATCGTGGGGTAAAATATCACTATGCATGGCGTTCTTACTTTTGCCACATCTTTTTGATACTGAGAGCCACGGGCAATTCGTTCCAATAAACAGAATTCGGATACAAAAAGAACGTACATATCCTACAATAAGGAATAATGTAACTAGAATCAGTTCACTTGCCTGGTAATTCGTTTTCAATGTGTCCACCTGTTTGTGAAACACTGACCCCCAAAATTCAGTACAGACATACTTTACTACGTCAAGCTCATTAGCGAAGCGGCTGTGATCTTTTGTTGTCCTACGGTGAACTGAAATGATTTAGGGTTATGAACCGGGCGTACCGTTCAATCAGACGCTGACTGACGGTAAATCCTATGGAATCCAGAAACTGTTCACACAAGGTAGGCGAGTCGATGGACTAAAAGTTGATTAATCGCGATATTGAGGCCGATATACTTACGTTTGCTGTACTCTCAGACGCATAATTCACTATTTCTGTTAACAGCGCATCGAACGCGTCGTAAGAATGAACAGCAGTCGATGGCATTTACCAAACAAGCTCTGAAATGCAGATATTTTCAAGTGATTGTTTCGGTTCATGCAACCACTATTCCAGTCCGAATTTTCGTCCGTCGGCAATCTTGATCGGAAAATTTGCTAATTACGGTAAATTTAGAAAAAAACAAATTTCAATGAAACAAAGAAAGCAACGAAATTCAAGAACAGGAAAATGCTAAAGTGATGACCCAAGAAGGGGCAAACTAAGAAACGGTTTCATTTGTCACTTCATACCCTACTTTCGTTTTACAGGGAATTCGAATGAGTTGGGACGACGGAAAGTTGGTAAATGGTTGGGGAGCGTGTTGCGTATACCCAGTTATTGTCTACCACTTCGCGCCTTATTCGCTGGAAAAAACCACGTGGAAGTCAACAGATGATGTGGAGACGAGGTATGAAAAAATGCACAGAATAATTAGGTAGAGTAGGTGTCATGTGCTTTCCAGGTTGAGGTCCGAAAGAATCCGCAACTGGTTGGTTGGAGACATTGAAGGATATGGCAGCGGACCGAAAACAGTGAAGTTCTTTAGATGGTCAATGTTCGGATTAGCCCATTCGGTTTTTCACAGGCAGTGCTGATGATGTTCGGTGTAGGTTTCACTCCTTGGGAGATCGTTAATTCCGCACTATTTAAATGCGGTGAAGTTCTTGTTGTCATATCACGTCAGAATTCTTGGAACGGTATATATGCAAAGTTCCATTCTGTACTCTGTTGACCATAGAAATTCACCTCCCTGAAAATAGGTCTAACCTCTGACCACCTTAAAAATTACCACTAATCTTGTATGCATTCCGAGTTTGACAGCGATCAAGGAAGTTCGTTTCACTGTATTTCGCTGTACGGTGGCGATATCATGGTCTGACTGGTGCGGCGCTTCTTCCAGTCCTGTCCAGCACGGAAAGGTAGAGGATGGGCAGGCCTACGCAAAACGTGACCGAGCCATCGGATGTAGTGTTCAGCAATTACTTACGTTAGAGAACAACTGTTTACACGACAACGAACCGCGTCATTGCTCACCTGATGTTCCAGTTAAAGACGAGAAATGCTTCGAAGGCACCGGTAATCGAACACAAATTCAATTGGCATCCCTCGTTCAAAGCGTGCTAGACTACTGAGTTGTCACCCAGTAAGGCGTTGACCTTCGCATATTCTGAATCACGGAGTCAGTTACCTGGTTGGAGTTCAACTTCACCGGTTACTAAACCTGACAGAAACTTCTGCAGAACACCCATGGCGAAGTTAAAGAGGAATTGGATTATAAGTCAGCGTCGTCGCACTCCACGGGAGACGGCGAAAGGAGATGAAAGCTAGCCATAGACTTTAACCCGACCTGAGGTAAGACGATAGAACTCTCCGACACACTTGTACACACCTCAACAAAGTTCCATAGGGTGGTCTTATTGACAAAATCTAAGGCCGAGCGAATATCCAAGAACACAATGGTCGTCTGCCTTCGGCAAGCATGACAGTACCCTAGCAACTGTCGGCGTGTGAAAATCTGATCAAGTCATGCACGACTGGAGCGAAACCCAGATTGCACGTTGCCGGTCTGATGTTGACTCATAGAATAAGGTAGACGGAGAATATATATGTATATATATCGGATATATATATATATATATGCATGTATATATATAGATATATATATCATCTGAGTTTGGACTGAGCCAAACAAAGTACGGTACAACAGCCTTGACGCTATTGGGATCAGGCTAATCTCTTTATGATTGGCGCAGTTATCGCAACGGCACTTTTTGAAGACGAGGACAACAATCGTATACCCGCCACCCCCACTAGGTGGGGACCTGCTGAGTGTACTAACCTTTAGAGAACAGGGCTACCAGTTTTATAACAAGCTTTAAATAGAGCTGGGAGAAAGCCATCGGAGCCCGATACAGCGACGTCCCGAACCTTGGAGCTCATTACGGATCTCTGCCTTAGGTGGGTTTTTTGAGACAGACCATGGGACATGTGCCGAGATAGCTGGCGCTGATGGCTAGCAAAAGTTACTTGACGCCCGTTTGCATGCGCCGTTTTAGAAGCCTTCTGGCCATGAGTTTATGTACTTTAAAGGCGCTAGCTTCCCGTGAATCCTGAAGCCGTATATTTAAGTGCAGCCTTTCCACTTACACCAAAACCCTTGACACTTGCTCCCGAACGGGATACTCCGCAAATGTAAGGATGGTCATTCCTGGGTTAGGAACTATGTCTTCTTTGCCTTCAGGGAAACTTTCCGTGGTTGCGCTTTGGTTAGTATGAATGCAGTCTATCCAGCTTTCACGGCAGGCTGTGTTATCGCCTTGGAATCAATAGATTCGTGGCAAAACCGAATACCTCTTCAAAACGGATTGGGATCTTTGGAATACAAAATGAAATCAAGTATATTAAGCGCATCCGAGCACGAAGTACACGGTTCATGAGGATACAATTGTATGACGTGCAAGTCAAGCTCAAAATATTCCCCATTACTGCGAACTAGGGAAATGTTATTCTCATCATCCAACACATAAGACAATATTAATTCACAAGGTAATGACTTTCACGGATATCCTATTTTTCATTGTTACTGAAGGGAAATACGTTTCTGTTGAACACGCAAGTTATTGGTCACCTCTGTCTTTAAACGTTGAAAAACCGGTTAATGCGAACAGTTTAAAGAACTCAAAAGACGACGGTCGACTGGCAAGTTCCATTACTCCTCTTGTGAAGACATAAGGGGCACGCTTCCCAATTCAGCGTAACGCAGATCTGTGGCCTTAGATACAGAATGCGCGCTTCAGTTCGGTTCGGTTCCAGGACGTTAGGTCAGGTCAGGTTGCACAGGACAGTCAAGCGTTCAGAATTCCTTCCGTGGTTTGCTCACGATTGTGAATACATCTCTTCAATTGATCGGTTTCTTCGCCTATTTGCAAACAGGGAAAGAGAAACCTTACTTCTCGCAGTGTCGGCGAGACTTTTAATGTGAATGCGTTCCATATTGCACACATAAAAAAGTTATGAACCTAACGGTCGCCTTGTTTTCAGTGCTCCTCGTTCGGAAACAGTTCTAACCGCCCGAGAGTCACTTCAAGACACCTCTTATTCAAAGCCAGTTTGAAGGCTTGGATACTAGGCAGGGTGACTAGTCCCTCAGGCAATCTATTTCACCTATTTACTATTCTAATGCTGAAGTAGTTGGACCTCACACCTAACCTACTCCTTTTCTTCATCAGTTTGTGCTCGTGGCCCCTGGTACCAGCATCAGTGAAGAGTTCCTCAGGAGGAATTCCAGAGAAACCCCTCCTAATTTTGAACGCTTCTATGAGGTCTCCTCTAATTCGCCTCCTTTCTAGCGAGAATAGATCGAGGTCCCTTAGTCTTTCCTGGTACGATTTACCGTTTTGTCCCTCTATCATTCTTGTAGCTAGTCTCTGCACTTTCTCCAGGCAGGCAGCGTCTTTTTGTGCAGAGGTGCCCAGCCTTGGACACAGTATTCTAGATGAGGCCTTGTATAAGGGGACGGAGGTATCCAGTTTTCTGCAAGACAGGGCAGATCTGAGCCGGAAACGTTCTCCCCGTGCCTTTCGAGCCGCGATTTCACATTGGCTGCCCCAGCTGAAATCTGAATTCATTACTACCCCAAGATCTTCGGCAGATCCTACGGGTTTGACTTCGAACTCTCCCCACGTTTCGGTAGCAACTAAGGGATCTGTTTGCTTGGTCAATAGTTGACACTTGGCCGCATACAGTGCCAAGTCCCACTTATTTGACAACTCAACCACCCGTTCAATGTCGCTCACTAGGTTGGCTCTACCACTCGATCCCACCACCTTCACGTCATCCGCGAGGATGAGACAGGGTGAGTTGGTTAACCCCGCCAAGTCGTTCATGAATAAGAGCAAGAGTAAATGGTCCGAGAACCGAACCTTGGGGCACTCCACTGGTCAATCGAATGACCTGAGAACTGGTCTCCCCTACTCTCACTGCGAAGGTTTGATTTGTGAGAAAAGCGGTTAACCACCTATGCAGATTTCCTCCTAGCCCAAAGCTTTTGATTTTGTGGAGCGATCTGTGGTTCACAGAGTCGAGTGCTTTACTAAAATCGAGGTAGCAAACCTCAACGGTATGGCCCTCATCTAGCCTCTCTGTGACTTCATACAGGTAGCATAGGAGGTTAGTGAGACAGGATCTATGTTTTAAGAATCCGTGCTGCGCCCCGCTTAGTAAGGTGTAACGCAGTGGATGTCGACATACATGTTCCCTAATCAGCTTCTCCATGCATTTGCAGAGGATGCTGGTTAGGCTTACTGGTCTATAGTTTATGTCGGATTTCTGACCATCCTTGTGAAGCGCAACCACAATAGCTGTCTTCGAGTCACTAGGCAGAACTCTGTCCGCTAGTGACACTTTGAAGAGCGGGCTCACGGGTGTAGCAAGGACATTCGCTAGTGGTTTAAGAATGGCTGGATGAATCCCGTCTGACCCTGGTGTTTTGTTTAGGTTGAGTTCCGACAGAACCCTGCGCACCTCCTCTGGTATCATGACTAGGTCCTCTTTAGTCTGGATCTGTTTACCCACTCCAGACGGGTTGACCCACCCTCCATCCTCCATGAGCACACTTCCAAAATATCTCCTTGACTCTATGGCCTTCTCCTGGTCCGTTGTGACTATTTTATCACCCTCCAGGTTAATGGCACCTATTTAGTCCCTAAGCACTTAGATATAGTTAATTTTCTTGTTCTTGCGTGCCCCTCGGATGCAGCACTCGAGGGAACAACAAGTTTTTTGACGTGTCTATAAGTTGTTCTATAACTGTACCTGTTTTACGCCCTAAGGCCGAGTTCATCTCTCTAGGCGTTGAGGTCTTCCTGAGCGGTGTAGTGGACCCGGAGCCATCTAC